TGAAAACAAAGAAACAAACTATTATTGCTAATTCAACCATGGAGGCTAAACTTATTGCTTTGACATCAGTCACTCAAGAAGCAGAATGATTGAGAGTTTTTTTTTATACGAGATCCCACTTTGGAAAAACCAATACCACCTATTGTAATTTATTGTGATAGCACTACTCCTATAGGTATGGTGAAAAATTATCATTATTACAGTAAAAATCGGTGCAATTAGGAGTCATGTATGAGGACACCCAACTCGGTAATTAGAGCTCTTAAGAACTAGGTTCTATGAGAAAAATGATTTATACAATGGCTATAAGAGATGCACTATTATTTTTTATCATCCCTATGGTGTAAGTGCATTTATTCTGTAACGTTTTTGGAGATTGAGTTTATTAAAACTCTTAGTAAACATATGTAGCTCGTTTTGAGTGAGATTGTATAATTACAAGAGCATCCTTAACATATTTTACCTATATGAGTGTGAGAGTGGGGCCGCTTTCCATGAGAATTGGGCTTGTTCTCAAATACACTCATGAAAACCGAGATTAGCTCAAGGCCGTATCGTGCTAACTATTAAAGCTCAAATTGACACTTGGATTATTATGTGTGAGCAATATTTCTTATTTTTCAAGCAGTTGTAGTTCAAATCTAAGATCATTATCAACTCTAGAGTAGGAATTGTTGTCTTTGGCAAGTAGTATTTTTCTTCTTTTCTTCTCAATTAATATTATAATGAGTGGGGGAATGTTGGTGCATTTTTAATATTAAATAAACTAATTTAAATTGTCATTATTTGTTGTTAGTGCGAAATTAAGATGGTGTTATATTTTGTTTTAGTGGGAAATTAAGATGGAGTCTTTTAACTTTTCATCTTATGTAACTCTTGTAGCTTTTTTCTAGTTAATTTGTGTTTATTACCCAATTTACTAAGTGTCACATCTCAGGCTCGACTCCACCGTAGCACGATATTTCGTTTTGGACCCCGACCACACCTTCACGATTTTATTTCTAGGAACTCACACAAGAACTTCTCAGTGGGTCACCCATCCTGGGATTACTCTCGCACCAACTCGCTTAACTTTGGAGTTCCTACGGAACCCGAAGCCAGTGAGCTACCAAAAGGCCTTGGACTAGGTAGAGATGAGAATATACATATAAAGCTTATAGGATCCACTCCCCTGGGCGATGTGGGATGTTACAATCCACCCCCCTTAGGGGCCCGACGTCCTTATCGGCACACTTTTGGCCAGGGATTGACTCTGATACCAAATTGTCACATCCCCGCTCGGGCCTTTACCACATCCTGGGCTCGACTCCACTGTAACACGATATTGTCTGCTTTGGATCCCGACCACGCCTTCACGGTTTTGTTTCTGGGAACTCACATGAGAACTTCCTAGTGGGTCACCCATCCTGGGATTGCTCTCGCGCGAACTCGGTTAACTTCGGAGTTCCTACGGAACCCGAAGCCAGTGAGTTCCTAAAAGGCCTCGTACTAGGTAGAGATTGGAATATACATATAAGGTTTACATGATCGACTCTCCTGAACGATGTGAGATGTTACACTAAGGATAGTAATAAACCTATAATTAATAGCATTTTCTTCGTCATCCTATTATTCATTATCCTGCTACCCAATCTCTTCTATAACCATTATTCTCATCATTTTCTCCATCTTTTCCATTTTACGGGTGTTCATGTGGTGGAACTTTGGACTTTTTTTTTTTTTTTTTTGTTGGTGTAGGTAGGCAAATAGGTTTGAGTCACACAATGAATCAATTGGGTTGTTGTAGTCTGGAGGGGACAAATCAAGAGATATACTACTACACCAGTTCGGGTTGTCAAATCGGAGTGGGCTTGAATCTCCTTGAAGAGAGCTAGATACTCAGCTTAATTGTCTATGCGCTTTTCAGAAAATTATCATGATTTTCTTGTAATTTTTCAAAAATTGAGGAGTAATTGTGGGACCCATTTCACATACAACTTTTTCATAGTTTTGCTTTGCTGTGTTCTATCCAATCGCGTAGTATTGAGATTAATAAATGACCTTTAGCTTCACATTGATTAATTGTTCAGCTCTCTAGAAGACGTATTAGTTCCAGCTCTTTTATTCTATCAAATTAGACTTTGTAAACTCTCCATATAAACTTGATTATATCTTAATTGGGATTCTGATTACTTGCTATTTGTTAATGACCCACTCTTGGCTTTGATAAGCTTCCTATTCAATTTAATTCTCCTACATCTCGACCATATGCCATTTCAAAATTCGTTTTCTAGTTTTTTTTGGTCTTATTCAAAGAAAACATCTTATGAAATTGGTTAGATTGATTAAGTTTTGTAGCCAATACCTTTAATTTACATGGTAATTTTGCATGTGTCGCTCATGCATAATTTTCTAGTAGAATCTAAAGTTGGGCACACTAACTAATGCATGAATCGCTACAAGCCCAAATGACTCGTGTATAAAATTATAGTGTTTAATTGACATTTTAAAATTGAGACGTTACAATGGACACTAAGAAAAACTTCATTAAGACTGAACATGTTATTCAACCATAATGACACTACCTCCGGATAGGGCAAAGATTTTCAAATAATGACCCAAACACCACCCACTCACAATTTTCCATCGTTTACACTCACCTTTTCAAGAAGTCGCTCATCCTTTAAGAGTCTGGCTTTGCTACTGCTTAAGTTAATAGTAATCGAACCCCACTTTTACTTACTCATTTTCTTCTGCCAAAATTGACCTAATTTTTTTTTTTCTTCTACCAAAAACCTAACATTCTTATATTCTCAACTTTTACTATTTTTTACAGTAACTTATTAGGTAATGTGACTTGTGTTGTTACAATATTACCTAATCAAACGTTTGACACCGTACATTTAGATGTTACTAGAAATAATTGTCTGCGCGTTGCTCGGGATTAGAAATTGCAAGATTAATTATGTAGGCCGTCCATTTTGTACTCAATCGCAATGCCACTATCTGCACGAAGGCAAGTCTATGGAGAACTAATCTCCTTAACGTTCTGCCATAGGCTGTTTGTCAAAGATGATTCTTGATATAATACTTATGTTATATCATCTTTTCTTAGAGTTACGCAAGTGATTTGATTCTCCTTCCCGGAGTTATGTAAGCAATCCTTCCCGGATTCATTCACACCCCCTTATCAAACAACCCTATTTCCTTTATCAATAAACAAATTTCGAAGTTTGTTTATTCTACAATCAACGTTTGTTTGTTTCTTTTTTTCAGTGATGCAGGGAGTACCTCAATCACTTGAGCAAAGCAGAACTTTGAAACTTTGCATGATTTCAAGTCTAAAAATCCAAAGTAACATTGTTAGAGGAGTCTCCTTTAGCCCATTTCATATTATTTAGTTAGTAGCTTGGGAGACTCGAACCGTAGTAAGCGCGGTTACGATTGACGGGCTACAGGCATGGGCATATGACGCCCTAACCTAGAAATCTAATGCACTCGCCCTCCAGAAAGTTTATACAATTAATAAAGTTGTGGAATATAACATTCAAACCTAGGCTATACGCCATTCAAGGGAATAATAGAAAGGGTGATCTGGAAATCATTTGAGGGCGGCTCTCAACATACTAAGTTAAGTACGTTTTGCGACACCAAGTGCTCAGCAGGTCCGAAGGGGCGTCCAGACTAGGCAATTCCCAAGAGGAATTTTATTCCCATAGAGCTCTGATACGCGGAAATGTTTTGGCTAAGTCAACCAATGTATTCTGGTCGGAAATGCTCAGGTCTGACGCATAGGGTCTAACAAAAGGATTCCAAAGGCATTTTCGACCCACATGCAGGCAACCAAGTCCCCAAAGAACTTTCGTTTATGATTCGGTGGGGACGAACAAGCAATTTGAACTAAGGAGGAAATCTTCCCTAAATATCAGGTTGAGTATGTCAAGAACCTTAACTACAAATCGGGAGCAAGAAGAATAAATGAGAACAAGATACAGACTGGAGGCCATTACAGACACAAGACGACACTTTCTCATCCTCAATCCGATCAATGCACTAAGGCAAGTGCAGAGTAAGAGATTATCCATGGGTTTAAAACCTAGTACCGGAGTAAAGTGGTACTTCAGCCATCATGATGGAAATGTTTATGAGCACTAAGTTTGGGAGGTAATGTTTTTCGGAATCAACATTACCTAGCAGGAATTCGAGCTTTGTCTCAGTACCATAAGCTTACTTGTATTCCCCTCTATTACTCATTACTATGAAGTTAGTTTACTTCAAAAAGATTGTTGGATTAAACTATAATCTACAACGTAGAAGCAAGGGATGAAAAATTTCAAGTCGCTTGGATAAAAACTACTCAACCAAAAGAATAAATGCCATTCAAAGATTGTGCGTCCATAAACGAAGTGCGATAGAATGAGAAGAGCCCAAATCTCATGACCAGAGCAAAGGTGTTCAAGATATGGAAGGACACGCCCCCAGCCAAGTGAACAATAAAATAAATGCAAAACGTCATCATCATTCCTTTGCAGTAGCCTTCCCTTTGGCAGGAGTAGCAGTTGGCGGATCACCGTTGGAGCTGGACTCTTCTTTTTGTTCCGCCTCCAAGTCGGAAATTTTGTTGAATAAGTCTTCAGGAGCGGGGAAATCAGCTTCCCAGGTGATTTTTCCATGCGTAGGCCGAGATATACCCAAAGTTACACCCCTCCACTATTCCTCTTCGGACGCTTTTTTGTGACGAGCACGCAAGGCCGCCATTTTGGACCCATGCTCGTCCTTGAGGTCTTGAAGATCTGCAAAACGATTAAGAATCACCCACACCTGATGCTCGTCGACAGACCCACACGTCACACCCTTGAATTGGGCTAAGTTATGTTTCTACAAACCCAAAGATCTCCTTAAATCTACTTCTCCAGCCCAACTTCCAGCCCATCAGCCAGGTCCCACAAACAATCCCTTTACCATTCCACGTGTTGTCAATCCATAGGATATGAGCACCCTACGACACAGACGACCCAGATTCAACCGATTTCTACATCCCGGCCCTCATCTCTCTCGGCACCAAGCAGACACTGTGAATAACTTGAAAATGTTTTTCAACTGTAAATAACTGAATCAGTGGAGAACCACGGTTGGATCACGACGCAGTCACGGAACACGAATTGGCCAAAAGGGTTGCCGAATCCGGATCCGCAATTCGGAGATCCAAATGACGGATTCGAATCTGGAGTTGCAGGAATCGGGTTGGGAGGAGCTGAGGAGAGAGGCCCGGAAGATTGAGGGGGATCTTGATGTCAAGCTCTCTTCTTACGCTAAGCTTGGTGCTAGGTTCACACAAGGAGGTTCATTTCTTCCAACTTTGATCCTAATGCTATTAGTTTTTTTTTTATGAAAGTTGTTAACTGCTGAATTATGTGGGTTGGGTTTTGTTAATTACGTGATTTGTGCATTGCGTTTTAGTTATGGATGGATTTGGAATGATGGGTTGTGGTAGTTTAGTGAAAGGAAGCTTTGGTTATTGTTCTAGTTGGGAAAAATGGCGGTGGCCACCCAGTTGCTAAACTTTGGAGGAAAGGGAAGGATAATGTATGATTTTATTTTCTCTTGTGCTGATTATAAAAACCTAGTATGATGGGTTTGCTCGATTCAGCAGCGCCTTTTGGCGAAATTGGATTTTCCCTCATGCGAGGACATCAGATTTGCCCGTACTGAAGCTGAAGATCTATGTGGTTGAGATGATAAATGTAATGGTGGTTCTTGATTCAACAGGAGATTAGGCTAGTGATGGAAAAATTAAAAAAAAAAAAAAAGATTGGATTTTATGGGAGAAGTTGGTGAGGCTTTAGGGAGAAAGAGTGGAGAGATGGGAGAGATGCAGAGCACAAACTGACGGAGAAAACAAGAGAGTAAGGGTAGAGAGGGGAGAGAGAGTAAGTCAGAACTATGTGAATTAATAATATAAAATATTGAAAAAAATGAATTAAAACAAATAACAAAAAAGTGTTTGGATCCTAAAAATAATTTATCCGTGACTTAGTTTGACAGTGCGCCAAACGCTTCACTATTATTATCCTGCTAAGTCCAAGCCAAGACAGTCCAGCTTAATCCCTGAAGCTAGTCTAGTTCAAGATAGTCCAGTGCAACAAACGTACCCTTAGCTTCTGCTAAACATTGTGACCCTACTTTTGAATATTTATTATTGACATCATACGTATTATCAATGAACTGACCGCCTTTATAACAATATAAATATTGAAATCAGGTTATGTAGACTCTGGGTCACCACCTGTTAGTTCGAGCAGGTCATGGAAGTCCATGGAAATGGAGATCGAGTCTTTGCTTGAGAAACTTTTGGATATCAATGATTCAATGAGTCGATGTGCTGCATCTGCTACACCAGCTACTTCTGTAACTCAGAAGCTAGCAAGGCATAGAGACATACTTCATGAGTTTACCCAGGTTCACCTTTCTTGTACCTTCTACTTTTGGTTTTCAAATTTCTAGCATCTCGTTTTGCCTTTTTTTTCCTCTGATGCGACTTATAGCTAGTTTCAAATAGTAATCTCCTTATTTGATGCATGTTAATACATGGAGATTAGTAATCTTTGCATTGCTGTGGCTCGGATATGCAAAGCTCGTTTTATAATTGTTACACATATATAATATAACTACATGAAAAGACTAGTGTGAAATATTACCATATTCTAGAATGATCTTGCATATCATCTATGGTCACAAACCTTACTCGAGTTTCATATTTGATTATAAAAAATAATAGTAATATAACGTGTGTACCGCTGTGCAGTAATATGCTTTATTGTTTTGGAATTTCAATCCTGAATCTGACTGGACCTGGATTTTGTAACTCTCGTAATCATTTTGAATGGAGCAAGGTGCCTCTTGAAACATCCTTTCTCAGTTTATGTTTTGGCACAGCCACAGGTATCTTAGGTTCATCCTTAATATTATCCAAGGTGTGAATTCTAGTCCTAAGATTCTCCAGGTCCTCATTACAGACATCTAAAGTAAATCTTGCTTTTTGACTCTATCAGTGCTTTGTGAGTTGAGGTAGCCCCATTTGCAACTTTCTGTGAATACATATCCTCCCTTTTTTGGGGTGAGGGACGGAAGTAATGTTAGAGCTACAAGCCATTAATGACTGCCATATTCATGGAGTTCTGGCTCGAAGATAATGTTTTTGAAATCTTGTTCTTGAAGATTGGGCTCTGGTTAAATCTTAAGCTAAATTAGATTTCGTATATTGTCAGTTTTAAATTTTGATGCAGATTTAATAATCTGGCATTTGAAAGACATTTGAATTGGATATTCTCATCATTTAATTGGATCCCTTTGGCTGGAACATGTGTGAATCATCTCGTGGTCACTTAGAATGCATACGATCTCCCTCCACCTTCTCCAACCATTTGTATTTATATCAGGGTAGCAATTATCTTATGTATTTTGTTTTAGCTTTTTTGTTGTTTTACATTGATCTCTTTACTGCTGTAATTAGCATTTTAGTATCTGAGTAAACAAAATGATCACTGAAATCTTTTCCATTGTGAAAATGGTGCTTGTCTCTTTAGGAGTTTAGAAGAATCAAGGGGAACATAAATTCATTGAGGGAACATGCAGAGCTTCTGACTTCAGTCAGGGATGATATCAGTGAGTACAAGGTAATTATAATTAAAACTCTGGTTATTAAATAATTACATAATTAAAATAGTTGCATGTTGTTTTTCCTTTTGCTTTTATTTCTTTTTTGTCTTGAATTCTGTATGCTCCTCTTTCTTAAATCAGGTTTGTTTTACATCTCGTCATGCAGGCATCGGGGAGTATGTCACCAAGAATGCAAATACTACGGGAGAGAGCTGCCATCCACGGAAGCGTATCTCATGTAAGTTTAAGTGTTATTTGCTGATAATCACATGTTAGGTTATGAACCAACATAATTGCTTTTTGTATTTTCCCATGGAACACTGCCCTCCTTTCTTCTTTAATTTGGGTCTAATTGAGGCTTATCTGGTCTATATGAGCTTCACAAGAGTACCTCTCTTCCATTCCATAAACCCTTTGCAAACATTGGTAAAGATTGCATGCAATGCTAGGTCTTAGTGAATACAGATTTTACACTTCAAACAGGTTGAAGTTCAAAGTAACAAATGTAAATATAGAAGTGGATGAGGGGCAACGCAAATAACAAACTATTCACCGGTTAGGATATTACAGATCGAAAGTGGTCCAACAAATTTTCCTTGGATCAAAGATCTGGCTGTAAAATGCTTCTGATCCTTTCCATATGCCCATTTTCTTATCTTTAGATAATGCCCAAGGCAATGGTATTGGAGTTACAAGTAGGATGTGCTAAGCCGGGTGATTCTGACATTGGTGGTAGATTTTCTTGCACTTCGGCAGGTGTCTTTCTATTGTGAGATTGATGCTGTTTTATGAGCAGTACGTGCTTATTTGATGAAGAATATTTACGGGAGTAGGAATAGGATAACACTGAAGGATGTGAAATGCCTTTATGTGCAACTTATTTTCAGAAACCTTATTTTTTTAGCTGGCCCACCGTCCTGCAATTACTACAGTGAATTCGTAGTTTGAGTTCTAAGACTTGCAACTCTAGGATTTGTTTTATGTTGATATCTTCCCCTCTTATACATCCTGTTAGAAATGGATGCGTTTTCCACGTAGAAATAAAGCAAAACAGAAGTTTCCCTAACCTTTTTCCAGCACTGAATATGTTTGGTTTCCACTTTCCAACAATTGTATACCAAAGTCTTAGAGAACCACCAATGTTGAAGTGAAATTTACAGAGAGGAAAACACATGTGCTCCTTGCCTTTTAATAGAGTAGTTCCTTAGCAATCTGCATGATATGTTACATATTAGAACATATTGTTTAGGCCCGAAAAAATAAGGAAAAAAGGTCTCATGGTTCAGTAACCATTTTTTTATATTAAAATTCTAATGATATAAAAAAATAACTTTCCTATCCAATCTATTGTGTTAGGACAGTGATTTGCTAGCTAGTTATCAACTGCGGTTGGTTCCTTAAAAAGGTAGAAGATCATACATGGTGGATGATTGTACCAAGTTCCGAAAATAATGCACAAAGCTCCCCGAGGCTTGGCACAATACTTCCTTGCATCGAAGCAACACACAACAGACAATTATAAAGCACTTTGTATCTGTCATATTGGTTCATTGCACTTGGATTTAACTATTTCCCTGTGGGGTAAATATTGGGCTCAGATTTCGCCTTCAACTGAAAGTCCGTCGTGGGAAGTTCTGTTTACTTTTATATAACAAAATAAAATCTTCTTTGATAGAACATATATGTTCCTGTCTGTGCAGATAGATGAGGTGATTAGTCAAGCTCAAACAACAAGGGCAGTCTTGGGCTCTCAAAGGGCTCTGTTTGGTGATGTTCAAGGGAAAGTGAAAAATCTAAGTGACAAGTTCCCTATAATCCGCGGCCTACTTGGTACTTTACGAAACAATCCATGCTATTCGTTTTCATCTTCTGATGTGGCTTTTTTTTTCATTTTCTGTTCACTCTTTTTCTTTACAGGTTCGATTCGAAGGCGGCGATCAAGAGACACGCTTATTCTGTCTGCAGTCATTGCAGCTTGTACCTTGTTTCTTATTATCTACTGGCTTTCAAAATAAATATACGAATGAGATTTGTGATGCAGAAAGTTTTAAACGATGGTACCTCTCTAGGGAATTTTGCTTCTGTAATTTCTTGGGACAAATTGTTTATATATTTCAAAAGTTAGTGGTGCCTATTTTGTGGTGCCATTCCAATGAATTATAGTTTGGCTTCTATACACAGTAACTGTTTAAAAATGGGAGTTCGAGATAAACTTGCATGTCACGGGTTCATATCCTACTTTCTATGTCTCTCTCTTCTCCCATATCCCCTCGTGTGATACGTGACATGTCATGTGAGGACTAGAAAAGATAGTTATGAACTCGTAACAAGTAAGTTGATGTAGTCTGCAATTAGATATCAAAATCTAAACTAAATCCTGCACTGGCATTATTTGTTTTTTCCTTACCGAAAGACACATTTTCTATGTCTTAACATGGAACTTGGTGGTGCAACACGTGAGGTGACAAGGCCTTTGGGTCCTTGAATGAATGGTCCATCTGGGTCTTAATCCAGAAGCAATCCAAAGTGCTTAGGGAAAAAGCCAAATCAAAACTAAACGCTGTCAAATCTGCTTTCTGATGGAGCTATTACAGCATGCAAAATCACAATAATTTATTCCAAATGTTGGAGTGGTTTTGGGACATGTTTTGATGAGAGTCAATCATAGGGAATAGATCCTATTCGGATCTTCTTCGTGAGAATCTTAAATATTACTTCATCGTGTTCGTTCATCTATCATCTAAGTCATAAATTATTTTGAATTTTTTTTATTTAAAATTAAACATAAACAGTACTTGACGAAAACTGACTGCACGATGTACGATCAACGAGCACGATGAAGTGATTCCCGAGATCCTCACAAAGAGGATCCGAAAAGGATCCTCATCCCAATCAGAGTGGATTTTATTGATTAAAACATTAATTAATTAATTAATTAACAAAAAGGATGCGAAGGGACAACAAAGTTGGATGAATTGAAAGCAAAATAAATCCTCCAAACCCCACATGCAGAAACCTGCTTGGATGCTGGGCAGGTAAATTAGGTCAAGTTTTGAAAGGCAGTCACCAAGATTAGGAACAATGGTAGACCATGTGTTTTGAAACTACAAGAATGTTGGAGTCTGGTGGCAAAGGTATAAACGACCGACCAAACAAATCGAGCTTAGGGCAAATTGAAGGGACGTGGGTCATTTGGGAAACAAGTTCGACAGAGCAAACACTGTCAACATATTTTCTGTACATTGAAGGGACGTGGGTCAATTCTCAAATAGTTATTCTAGTCTTATAATGTCACATGTTAGGTCATCTACAATGCAAAACTTATACGAGGTATGGATAGATATATTGTGTGAACTTGTAATTTCACTATTTTTCATTAAGTACTTTTATTTTTGTCAATTAATCCACTGAATTTTTATAAATAGTTAATTTTCTTCTCAACACCATATTTTAATATTTTAAAACTTTGATCCTCCCCCCGGGGGCGGATTTAAAACTTTAATCCGCTGAATTTTTATAAATAGTTAATTTTCTTCTCAATGCCATATTTTAATATTTTAAAACTTTGATATGCTATTCTCCCCTCCCCCTCCCCCCCCCCCCCAACAATTTATTGTGTGAACTTATAAGTTCACTATTTTTCATCCAGCACTTTTATTTTTGTCAATTAATCCGCTGAATTTTTATAAATAGTTAACCCCCCCCCACCCCTCCCCAAAACAAAAAAAAAAAAAAAATTGTCATGTGGACAACCCATGAGCCATTTTAGACATTACAGAACCAAATGACTTTTCTCCCCTCTTTAAAACTCACTCTGGCAAACAAATTCTACCATCCTTCCAAGTGGTTCAGGCATAATCTATCAAATTTTGTAGCAACGAGTCATTTGAGTGTGAAAATAACTTCACTCTTTTAAGTGGCTCACGTGTTATCGACGTGATGAGTTTGAATAGAATTTGAATGCAATGTTTAGTAATCTACCGATGGGGAGATAATTGGCTATTAAAAGTGGTAAAACTGGTAGTGTATTAAATTGTTTGTTTTCTTCTCCAATGCATACCCAAATCTTAAAACACAAACATGGCTTTTTAACATTTGAGTATGTGGACTGAAGAAAAAAAATATTGGAGTTAAAACTCAAATTTGATCTAGTTCTAACAATGTGCATTAGGCTATCTTCGATGGAATGGAAACTTTAGAGCCAAAAGTTATATTTGACACTAAAATTTTACTCAATATCCCTCTCTAATGCATCGAAAAAGTTGGACTCATATATGATGTTGGAACCTATATTTCGCACCACCGTCGATGGTTGAGTTATGTGAGATTGGTCACCTATAAACAAGAGCAAACAACGATGATTAGCCTAAGGTACTGGCGTGGTATCAGGCAAGGACACTTCAACAGTTAAGTAAGTATAAATCTTGGAACTCAAGTAGTGGGAAAGAGAGTAAAGTATGCAATACTAGTGATATTTCCTAGGATGGTGTATTTATACTAGTCGAAAGAAAATCCTTTTAGGATATAAAATCCACATTAAATCGAAAGAATCCCAAAAGATAGCTCATAAGATATTACTTCATTTTCGGATTGCAATAACTTGCAGCGCACGCCAATCCTTAGATTGTAGAAACCTCTAAGAATATAGAAAACGAATATGATCCTCATTTGGATCAGGTTTCCGTGTCTTACGGAGCAAGCATGGTCAATCTCAACAAGGCATGCAAGTCTTGCCTACCATTTTGAAGCCCAACATCATAATCCTGATCGGAGCCATTGAGTTCATAACCGAACTTCTGAGGCATTAGTATTCTGATCCGCCATAGTTTTGCCCAGTGAATTCATGGTTCCACAAATGCCCCAAAGTATACTTCAGAAAGGGCATTCCTCTTGAGGATGGATAGTTACCAAGGACCATGGTTTTTGGAGGATAACATGTCATTCGAAATTTTCTTACACGTGCCAATCTCACTTCGTTACCAACATTGGGTAGTGGAGAATTCCAAATTCAAGCATGCAACTTGGAAGGTCATGCCATTAAGATGGGTTGTCCCATCCCATGTGCATGAAGCCTGAAAGGTTTCAATTGATGGAGTTTGTGAATCTTGAAGAGAGTCATTCCAGATTCAACAACTATTTGATTACGAAGAAAACGCTAATAAATCCCTTTTCTTCTATTCATTTTTTCCTAAATTTTCCAAATATCACTTGCGCAAAAATTTCTAAAGACCTCCAACTTCTTTCTTCTATCATTTTTTTTTTCTGCTAAAACCATGGCTTTTTCAAGTAACGTTCAACCTGCCCTAGCCACGAACTACCATACTTTATTCAAGCCTTCATTGCTGAGAGTGAAAAGCGAAGCAGACTGCCAAAATTTTGCTCATCATATGCGAGATCTTCTAAACAATTATAGCCTACAATGGGAGGTCGGCTAAGATATCCATTCCTCGTTGCCAGACCATTCCAAACTTCCCCTGCACCAGAATCCACCCATGATATTTAGACTTGGGCCTAATATTTTCTTTGTTGGACTTTACCAAGGAAATCATCATGAACTATAGGTTTTCCCTTTGCAACCTTACCTCGACTTCATTTCGAATCATTACCAGCTTCAACTGCTAAACAAGTGGTACGGTGTAGAACTTGGAGTACAATAGTTCAAAGCCTTATACACCGTGCAGACCAGCTCCAAGAGTTAGTACTTCTTTCAATAACAGGAAAACCTCCACTAGGACATGTACATCAACAACAATCCGAAACAGGATAAAGATTGATACAAGGATGTGCCGGTGGTTGACTAAGAGTGGGAATGAAACATTTTTGGCATCAAAATTCCTCACATGGCTACAACGGATTTGAAATTCAACACATTAAATATGATGGACCTTGTTGTCCCCAGTTCATAGATCGAGCCTTCACAATTATTTCTAGGAAGCATCGATATTAGCGATGGTTGTTAGCATTAGAACATAACATGGCCAATGGTAGAGACGTCATCGTGAGGCACTGCTCTAAAATTGTCATCCCTGATACGATATGGATTAACACAGAGCAGTCGAAGAAAGGGGTAAGGTTCTTTGATGAGCCATATAAGCTAAAGAGGAAGTAGAGCAAGAAGCAAGGTTAAGTCTGCAAGAAGAAATTCAAAGAAACTGCTCTGAAAAAAAGGTAGCTTCAATGAAGAAACATCCAAGTCCTCTAGAAAGAAGATTGTGAAATCGTCTTGAACTGAAGCAACAATTCATGTTGAGGCAATGGTTTATGAGGCATTAATGCCAAGTATTGACATGCATGTTACTGAGGAGAAGGTAATAAAAGAGAGAGAAGAAGCATCGGTAAGTGAAGGCGATAGATTTATAAAGATCCCTGGCAATTGGCCAACAAAGTGATGGAAAAAAATCAGAGGGTAAAATCCAACTGCGCAACAACATCAATCTGACCAAGTTGTTGATTCAGGAACCTAAAATGTCAACTCTGACCTGGAGCCAAATCAAGTTTATGTTCTATCGATTGCCACTACCCATACCAACTACCAATTAGGTATCAACATCTAGACCTCATTTCGCTCTAACTATGTCTTTGTTTATTCTGACAGGTGCCTCGATAAGGCTAAGTTATGTGCCCATTAGAAATGGAAGCTCCTCCACTGCTTTCAGAGTTAGAGTTGAGTAGTCAAGACAACCTACACCTATTTTTAGGCCTTCATGGAACATGCAACAGCTACTGGCAAATGCCAGTGGATTAAACAACGTTGAGCATTCCCAAGCCATAGATGGATCAGTAATTTCCCCTACAAACTTGAAAAATGCAATGTCTAATCTGGACAAATTAATTCAAAACTGCTACCAGGCTAGCTATGCTGTAAGTCATTTTTCTGACACTTATTTAAATTTCATAATGTTAAAGATCTTTAGTGCATGATATGATTTATTACAATACATAGGCCCAAGTGTAGATTAAGGCCATTCTTCTGGACGAGGCAAACAAGATCCAAAAAGTGAAAGTTGCCTAAGAGAACGAGTTCGAATCTAGGGTGCTGCTTGAGAGGCAATTGAAGGAAAAAGTTGCGGACTTGGGAGAAGGTGCTAATGGACCAGTGGGTCTCCAAACATGAGCATAAGTTAACCTTGTCGTGTAACTTTGCAATGAGGAAACCA